TTTTGAATTCTCCTATCCACTATCCCTTAACCCCGTGACGTTTCACTCAGAGGACAAGGAATAGACGATAGGGATAGACTATGGGGATAGGGATAGACCTTAGGAGCTGATTTTTGGGCTATTCGACCGCAACCCAAGTCATCCTAACCACTTGTTGCTCCATCGGTGAACTCTTCTTCTCTCCCTCTGTGTAATAGCGTTGTTTGGGGACTCCTGGTGGTGGTCATGGGTACCGCAGCAATGGGTATATACTGCATGGGTGTGGTTTGGTTTCTTTATCACCACAAAAAACACATTTCCACGTCTGCAACCACCAAAGTTTTACACCTTCCGTACATGGCATGGGACGATAAGAAAATATAGTTGTCGTCATCATGTCGTCATCTCAATAAGAATAAGACTATCATCCAGATATTAAAAATAATCAGAATGCTAGGTTTAGTCAAAGTTCACCATTTAAGAATATCCTAAAAGAGAATATGTAATACAAATATTTATGAAATCATATGAAGTTAAAGCAATACTAAGCACATTTTACTACAATATATAACTTACTTGTGTTAATAAGATAATGCTGAATTGCACCAAGGGGCAATTGGTTATGAGCAGCAGCTTATGTCATGTACACAGGCAGGAACATACAGTAAGAAAACACACCGATACATCCGGGAGCACAGATGTGGATCATTCCAATTTACACTATAAATAGTTCATAGCATCACAATAATAAATACATAAATAATCAAGTTAAAAGCCTTTCAATAATTTAAGTTTGAGTGCAGAAGGGATGAATGATTTTGCAAAGCGATTAGTCTTCATGGCAGGTAGAGCATATCTACGCCCTGATGGCCCTAATGATAATAAAATATATATTGATAAGGAGCTATGCAGGTCTTTTTACTGCCTCTCCTGTGAGGATATACGAAATTGTCACATTAATGGAAATCCACCAAGATCAACTAATATCATCATAAATCCTGTTTTTAAAAACACACATCGTCCAATCTCACAACGACTTTGATTGAACCATCACACATAGCTTTCACTTCTACAAACCAGCTACTCCAGTCAGTGCACATTTTTTATTTGTTTTTGTTATGGTGTGAAACCTCTCCACCCTTCACCGGCATTGTGTGACTCCTGGTTCCCTCTGCATTCACTGTGTGTGTGGTGTTTCACTGGTTTATCAACCTCACTCTCTCCTGGTGTTTGTGTAAGAAGAGGAAATGGTCATATTCATTCTTCCTCGTGACATGCAATTTGTCTTGCCTGGTTAAACCGTCAAATGATTGAATTTCAAATCCTCTGGTTTCTTACACTTCTCTGTACTTCTGTCTTCTTGCAGTGGACCGCATCGTGGGTCTGGATAAAGTCTCTATGGCCGATATGCCCGGTGCCTTCAAGACCCGTAAAGGCATGTTCCGCACAGTCGGCCAGCTGTACAAAGAGCAGCTGTCCAAACTCATGGCCACTCTGAGGAACACCAACCCTAACTTTGTCCGCTGCATCATCCCCAACCACGAGAAGAAGGTACCCGAGAAATACCGACATTTATTTTCCAGGGGAACATTAACCATTCATGGAACTATGAAACTAAACCTGTGTTTTGAGCAATGGAACTAGCAATTAAATGTAGTTATTGCGCTTTAGTTCCATCCCTAAAATAAATAAAAACAAGCAATTCAAAGCGCCCAGAAAGTTAAAAAAGCTCTTGAACGTCCCCCACACTTTTTATTTTCTGAAGTCCTTGAACACACCCAGAAAGTGTAATGGTGGAGTTTGCTGATTTTGTGTTAATTGTTAAACACAAACCCCCATGGCATCTACATCTTGAATTAGGGCTGCACGATATATCGTGTCGTGACGATAATTGCGATATGCGCGATCTTCACATCGCAAGACACATTTTGTTAGCACGTGCGATATTAAAGGTAGGGTAGGTAAGAATGGAGAAACCAGCTCGAGTGCGCTAGAATTTGAAAGTACGCAGCCGTCCTTCAGACTTCCTTACAACGAACACGCACATGACCAATGAGGGCACGAGATAAGTTTGTGCACAGATGGAAGGCTGACAGGCAGGTAGGCCATCCAGTTACTTTAGCCGGGCCGGCTCAGATGATTGGTCGTGCTTTTTACAGCGCCACGGCTTCCACAGATGAAATATCTGTATATATTTATTGTCAAAGAATTTAATGTATTCATTGCTATCGGGATGTTAAGAGCATTCCATGGAATATAACAAAGTGTTTTTGAAGTGAATTACCTACCCTACCTTTAAGTAGGCAAATTAACTCAAGCACGTCATGTTACAATTATTTTGCTGCTTGCTACAAAATGAAAACTCGTGCGGCTCTCATGTCAGGGGTACTTGAGTGAATGACAGCAAACCACCAATCACAATCAAATCTCCAAAGCAAACGGACTAACGTGATTAAAGGTAAAAACACTGAATAAAGTAGTTTCATGTGTTTCTCCAGGGCAGTTCGGTGCTGCTAACCGAGCTAGCTCAGCTTGTTGCTCTGATAACGTAAGATCCAGACGGAAGGTTTGCGGACAATTTTTTTTATTTTCTTCAATTCCTGTATTTTTTTCATATCGCAGGGGAAAAATCGCAATATAAGTTTTTTCCAATATCGTGCAGCCCCATCTTGAATAATACTTTATTTTCAACAAATGCTACCATTGTGTTTAATCCATCTGAGTTTAGACGCTGTGGAAAGACAACCAGAAATGTGCATAAGGCACCTTTGTAATTCCTAGTTCTTGTGTCTAGTTCCTCTGGTTCCATTCTTGTGGTTGTAGATGTCTCTAAGGCACTGTGTTGAATCGAGATCCTAATCAGCTGTTGTCCCCTCTCTCAGGCCGGTAAACTGGAACCTTTTCTGGTTCTGGACCAGCTGAGGTGCAATGGAGTTCTGGAGGGGATCCGTATCTGCAGACAGGGCTTCCCCAACCGCATCGTCTTCCAGGAGTTCAGACAGAGGTAACAGGAGAAATACACACTGATCCTAGTATAGCTTTAGTTCTGCATAAATAATAATAACTTAGATTTATATAGCGCCTTTCAGGGGACCCAAGGTCACTTAAAACAAAAAACAGAATACTGCCAGAAAATATACAAAACACATTTTTTAACTGATCATCATAGGAGGAAATGAAATGTTAAGCATCAGTTTGCACGTACTACTTTAAAGCAGATGAGTGTCTCTTGGCGCAAAGAAGTGGAATTATTTGCAGAATGATTTAAAGGGCTGTAAGAACATTTTTATGTTTAAGAAAATGTATAAAGAAAGCGTAATTAGACTGTATGAAGTTGACTTCTGATTGTGTTCTGGTTTTATGTTTCAGTATTTGTAAGCAACTGTTACTGAAAGAATATTGCTTTTATTTGACTTTTTTATGGTTATTTAATTTTAAAGGGGACCTATCATTCAAAATGAACTTTTTGATGTCTTTTATACATAAAGATGTGTCCCCGGTGTGTCGGGGAACTCACGCAGCGTCAAAAAATAAAACCCTCTCTCTTTTCCTCCGTACCCAAATCTCTAAAAACGGGGGAACAACGGAGCTGATCCAGATTTGCGTCCGATATGACGTAATATCTGAAATGTGGACCCATGGCCCTATCAGAAACGTTGCTATCAGAAACAATGCCCGACTGTTTTGGACGTAAAATGGTCGGTGTTTACATTAGCATCGCTAACACTCAGACCTAACCTGTACTGGAGAGCATGTGTATGAAGAAGCAGGAAATAGAAAGGAACTCACCTTGTGGTATAACCGGCAAGAGAGAAAGCCTTTGAGCTCCATACTGTTTCAGAGATAATCCTTGATAATCCATGATATGGCATTTCATCGCCGCAGTATTTAGTTTAGACAGTAGCTGCCGGGTCCCGCATGAGCTCAGCCCCCCCTTTTTTATTTTTTAAAGCTTTACACCAAACTCAGCACTTTTGAAACAGGAAGTGAAATAGAGGGATATGAGGCATGGCTAGAATGGTTGATCTGTTTGGTATTTTGAGCAAAACACTTCATAGACATGTTTGTTATATATTTGAGACCTATGCTATTGCCTAAAAATAGCATGATAGGTGACCTTAAGAAGGAGCAGATGAAATAAGATGTTCTTCTCCCTGCTCCTTTCCACCATGTGCCATACATTTACAGTATAAGTGTNGGGCTATCGTCCTTCTGTTTTTATACAAGAATAAATAAAAAACTGTCCAGTGTCAAAGACTTATTTCACTCCAGGGTGATAGCAGGACACCCCATCTAGTCACTCAGAGAGAATCTGGACAATCTGATGTACAGTTTCAAAATAAAAGACCTTTGAAGTCTCATATATGAGCTATCTTCCTTCTGTTTGTATCCAACAGCTCAAATGTTCGAATTACATTGAACCAGAATTGTCCCCCTTTTTTCTTTAACAGTGAAGACAATTGGATATGTTAATGATATATTGACCGCAAAACTCAAAATGTCCCCGGTTTTCATTTTGAAAATCTGGTCACCTTACTCTCTCGTAAACATGCTGTTGATGTGTTTGTGTATGCATTTGCAAAAAGCCTATTTTACATATGAATAATATGATTCACATTCAATTTTTGGTTGACAGATAGAAAAAGGCACATTATACAAGCATGTAACATTTGTTGATTGTGACAGGAAGTGTAGTTTCTGAATGTTGATGAGAGGAACATAATGAGCCAGCAGACTGAGCTATCCTGCTTGATGCTTTATTCAGTGTTTACTCAACTGTTGGGTGGGCTTTTCATCAGATAGTGTTATCTTTCTACACATGCAATGCTAACATCATTTATATTATTCTATTGTCACAGAGTTGCACTGCATGTAACATTCTGTCCTGCTGCCAGATGTATTATTTTAAAATGTTATCACAAAAAGTGAGTTGTTTTTGAGGGTACAGGATAATTACATGGTATCCTCCTAACAGTGCGTAAAGCCAAAATGCTTTACTTATTAGGACTAGAAACACTTTAGCAGGACAGGAAATGAATATGTGAGAAGAGGCTGAGCAGAGGTATATACTTAATATCAGCTAAATGTATGGTATCAACAGCATAATTAATCTAAATACAGAAATGCACTTTTCACAATATTATGTTTTTATAATTATCCTACAATTAGGCTCAATTATCAATAGCCAATAGATGAGCATTTTAATGTTGTCAATTTGGTGCTAATTTTAGATTTGTTTTTGTACTGCATCATATCATATAAGAATTTCATGTGTTTTTATCATAGACTGTATATATAAATGGACGTGGGGTCCGTGACGTCACCCATAGGATTCTGCAGAGTTGCCGAGAAGCCCTTAGTAGGCGGAGTCGGCCACTAACGGCTCGACAGTGACGTCAGAGTTCAACTCCCGCCTGCTCCAGCCTGCTCCAAATAAGGGCAAAGAGGNGTGTGCCTTGGCAGTCTCAGTGCCGAGAAGCCCTTAGTAGGCGGAGTCGGCCACTAACGGCTCGACAGTGACGTCAGAGTTCAACTCCCGCCTGCTCCAGCCTGCTCCAAATAAGGGCAAAGAGGCCTGTAGCTCAAGCCCCCAGGAAGTGCGCCGGACTCAGATGAAAATATTCATGGTGGCCAAACGGCGGTACTACACTTACATTTGGTTGCCAGGCCCGGAAACACTTTTTCCCATTTACTTACATGGGGAAAGAGTGGTCTGTAAATCGTTGGATAATTTTTTTTAAACTAAATAAACCACCCAGTATGAACACTTGTATAGCCCTTATTAAAAACATTCGTTCCTCAAGTTGTAAAAATGTGCTAATAACGTTATTCTGAGAGTTATATCCCTCTGCATTATGAACGTGCATCTAACCCACGGGACCGAGCCGCCCGGCACGTTCATGAGTTTTATCTTTACCCATGGATGCACAATAAGAACGGACCCATATCGTCTCACTGTCATCCCACGGAGCTGTAATAATGGATATATTGCACATGTTTGCTGTAATTCATCATTTGTAACATATTATACTACATGGGTTGTATGATTAAATCTTGTGCCGTAAATGCTGTATTAAATAAAGTTACTATTACCGACGTTAGATTAACGTCCCTGTAGCTTCTTATTGCACTAAGAAGCTTATTGCACTGTATATATATACATATATATATACAGTGCAATAATTATTTCATGCTAAATGAAGCTCTGTTGCTTGGATATCACTAGATCATGTTACAGCGTAATATAAGTACATAACGATTGATGTGTGCATTAGCATAATTACTAGCTAGCCGCTAGCTGCTAACTGCCGCCTCGTTAATATCAAATCCATCATAATAACAAATCATTACCATGCTGTCATGAACGTGTGGTGCTGTTACGTGTACCCAAATTGACGTGCTTGATGTGTGAACGAGCATTTTGGTTAAAGTTGTGCATGTGCTATGAGCGCACATACGGGTACTTCTCAGGCATGCCGGGTAATCTGTGACGTTTCGCTCTCTCAAAAGTTGGGCCATTTTATCGTCATGCACCAATGAGCAACTTTCATAGGAATGAATGAGGCCCCGCCTCCCACGCTGTATCCAGTTCTTATTATACATCCATGCTGTAGCTTCACGGAGCAGCTAGCAGAGAGACAAGAAGCTAGCAGCAGCAGTCACTTGACAGAGCAGTCACTCAATGTGACCACGCCCTAATTTATGCAAAAACGTTAAGACCTAATATAAATAAAAGGGTCGTGTTAGAAAACAATTCACTCACAGATCCATAATCATGAAAGTGGAATCTAACTATATTCATATAATATTTATTGCATCCATGGGTAGAAACATGTTTTTTTCTGCTGTAAAGTTGGGCATTTTAACATGGGGGTCTATGGAAATTGCTCCTTTCTGCAGTCAGTCCCTATCGGACAATATATGAACTGCAGTGTGTGCCACTTCCGTATTGGCGTCCCGGCTCTTCCACAGAGTTTGCCGCTTGGTGTGAACGCAAACCGAACCTTCTGAAAAATGAAACAATTGAACAAACTGTGGTCTGGTGCGCACCAGAGAAGCGGACTATTAGGTGTGAATGTACCCTTACACGAATAATGTCAGAAAGATGTGTAACATTTTAAAGTTGGAATTAGGTTTTTTAGTGAGTAGTATGATGGAACAGTTAGCAGTTGAAGCGGTTGAAGTCGCATGAAGATTGTTCAAGTCTGAAGATGTTCTGAATGTGTGATGTGATGAATAATAATAATAATAATAATTATAATAGATTTAATTTGTTAGCGCTTTTACAGGTGCTCAAAGACACTTTGCAGATATAGTGGAGAAAAGAAAAGAAAGGAACAACAAATAAATATACAGTTAAAGTTAAAGTTAAATAATACAAAAACAATCACATATTAAAAGCCAGATTGAAGAGGTGAGTTTATGGGATGTATCTCTGGAATTAAGAAAGTTATGAATGATAAAAGTAATAGCCCTCGATTCACCGACTGAGCTGAACGTTTGAACGGAGTTTCTGCAATGTTCAATGCGGGAGGATAACGGGCAAAATAACGGGCGGAATAATTTTAAAGAATTTCCTGCGTTGAAGAACAGATAGTTGGAATGCTGTTAACAGCATTCCCACTAAATGAGAGACATCCCCTAACCCTAACCCACTTAAGAATAACTGACTTCTGAACACTTCCTCTCAAGGATGCCACATTAAAAGCCTGGTGCAACAGGAAAACAAAGTGTACATTTGGGTAAGGATTTTCCGTGCTGTCAATTGAAAGTCATGTAAAATGTAAGCAATTTTCTCCCCTAAAACCCCTTTATTCTGTCAGGTTACAGGCGCCCCTCTCCTTTAATTGCTTCAAAGTTGCCAGGCAACCACTAAAGAGGCTACGCCGGGGCGAGAACTATCACATGCACTCTCATTTGGAAGTGACACGTTGCTCTTTTCCATGTAATTCGCCTGTGCACACATACAGTTGGATCTGTATTTATGACTGTATTGATATTGAGTGACCTTACAATGTGT